TACAAGGGATAAACTTCATGCCAGCTAGCCCAGGCAATTTCACTGAATTATTTTACCAGAGGTACAGTCACTGCTGAATAAATTCTTCAATAAAATCAGAATTTAGCAAAAATAATATAAATCTGTGGTGACAAGCAGAAAAGGAGGCCTCAACTGGGTTTCTGAAGAGTCAGAAAAGCAAGTTCTGAAATCTAATCTCTCTTGTTTTAATTAATTCCTTCTCCTAACCTACCAAACTGTAACATAAAAATAGCTCAGATTATACTCCAGGGTAGTTGTTTACATGCATATTTACCAATTCTCCAGTGAGCAGATTTCTGAAGCAGATCATTCACTGCTTAATTTTCTCAGCAAAAAGAACAGAGAAATCTATCCACAGTGAAAGAACCCATGCTCTTCAGGGGTAAAAGATAAGGGTTGTAATAGTCAAATCAGAAGCAAAGTCTGAAGAGATATAAAATACTCATCATGTCTATTGATTTTAAGCTGCCTGAAAGCATCTCCTGGGAATGTTTCTCTAGATATTATCTCTGTAATCATAGTATTCTCAATTGTAAATTCAACTGCGCTGTAGCAGAGCATTTGTATTGTAAACACATAAAAGCGTTGAACTGATAAATGCATTGCTAGCAGAGATCAAATGACAAATTCATTAGCTGCATCGGGTTCTGAAAGGCAGGACTGGTTTTTCCAATGACATTTCTTCCATTTCTGACTCCAGTCATTGGCAGTACTACTATGGTGCCTTGTTCTGCTCTCCCACAAGTACCATTACTGAAGGGAGTGGCATCTTGAAGGGCTGAGATCCATTGTTAGAAAAAATCTACTGACAATAGCCTTTTTGTGAAAAATCACATTAGGAAAAAGGACATTTAGGAACCTGGACATTTGGGGACAGTGATCTGCATTTACAGGCAACCATATACTCCATCTTCTAAGTTCTCTATCTGCTACTCTTATTGAAAGGCTGTTTCAGAATCATGTTCTGTCATTAAGAATCTTAAAAATTCCAGTAGAAAATGTAATCATGATCAATTTCTTCTTAAGCCTTCACATTTCTTTAGAGGAAATCATTTTTGCCCTTCCCTGTTACATTTATAATATCAGCCATATCCCCACTCCGTTTTCCTTTTTTTAGACAGATCTAGACAAACTTTATTTTAAGTTTGTTTTCTAAGATGCCTCAGGTCTCAGAAAAACCCTTTTCTGCTCATCTCTTCCAGACTGAATCTCTCTCTTGAAAAAGAGTGACTGAAGTTCTGCATAATGTTCCCAAAAACATCACTGCCCTTTCCCCAGCATGCCAACATTCTTTCTCTTGCTGAAACACCTCACATCATAGTTTACTCAGCCTGCTTAGAAAACAGATATTTAGCCTAAAAGCCATTTTAGCACTGCATTCAGTGGCTGAATGAAAGTTCCTGAGCCACCAGATATAATTTAGGATACCTCTTTATGGTATGGTATGTTTGAGTCTTAAGTGTCAGCCTTTCTCTACTTACCATGTAAAATGTGTGTGATTTTAAAGGCATGTCTTGTAATTATTAGATTCTCTGGAGGCACTAAGCATGGATTGCTGGAACTCTGAAAGCACAGACGAGTTTTTGCACAAAAGACCTTCTATTCTCAGTAAAGATAATCCTACTCTATATTCAGTATGGTTTTATTCACACATTCACATCCCCCTACTTAAAATCATCACAGCAGATTATGGAAAAGGTATGAAATATAAATACAAGCACAGTTGATGTATGCAGTAAATACATCCATATATTTAGAAAAGACCTCTTACACAGTGCATTCCTAGATGACAAAATGAGTCAGTGATTATCTAAAGCTCCCAAACTTAGAGGCTCCAAGGAAGACTGTTGAAAAATGGGGGGAAAGGAAAATTACACTGGCAATAGAGGATTTAGAAGGTAGCTTTTAATATATTACTAATTTATGCAGCTGATACCTTAAGCATCTTAATATTCCAAACTAGGAAACCAAAATATCTTTTTGAATTCAACTCCTTTAGATTGATGAAAAGTCACACATAGGCACAGAAATCTTCTCAAGCTGACACTTACTGACAGCTACCCCATAATGTTCTCCACGTTGGAACAAAGCTTTAAGTGCACTCAGAGAGGGCAGCTGCAGTGTTGTAAAGATTGCCTGAAGTGATGCCTTAAAAAAAGGGTGAAAAGAAACGGATCTGCTGCTGGGACACTGGAACAAAGCATTTCTGATAGAGAAAAGGTAGGGGGGGAAATTATTTGTGATGGCCTAATTACATTAGAAAAAAACTCTTATTCAGGTAGTCGAAGAACAGGACTCAATGTAAATGGAGGAAAGAACAGCCCTCAGGTCAATTTGATATTTGTTTTGCTGCATGCAGAAAACCATTCCTCATGAAAACTGTTTGCTGCCATTATGCAAAATCTCATCATAAAAATAAATACCTCAGAGAAGCTGTTGTGTATTATCACTGACAGCACTGGAGAGCCACTGCTAGTACTGACCCTTCTGGAGACATATAAACCACACTAGCAGTAGACTTCCAATGGGAAATGTCCACAAACAACAGGTATATTTTGGCACATATATAATGCATTTGTGGCTATTGCTTCCCACTGGAAGTAACAAAAATCATTTAAGCAGTATACAAGCTATCAGCTGTCATTGAATTATATTGCAAGGATGATCTCTAACCTTAAAAGAGTGACTGTTTTTATTTTAAAGCAATGGTTTATAAGTTGTAGTTCAGTACAGCTATGTTTTTCACAATATGCAGATGATCAGCTTCTCAAGGAGACTCAAAATGAAATATTATTAACAATTTATGATTATTTCCATGCAGACACTGAATGACTAATTCCTATCATATTTTTATGCAGTTGCAGGAGGGAGTGTTTCTGCACCTGTTTCTTTTTTTCTCCTGCAAATCTAATAATCAGTAACATTGTACTTAGCCAGCTATTAAATTTCAGATCTATTAGTATATTTCATGCATTTAAAGACTGACAAAATGTGAAGTCATTTAGCCACATTATAATGCCACACTGATACCAAGAAAAGTGGTCACCAAGCAGACAAAGCTTCACAATCTTGGATTTTGTTGCAATAACCCACTAGAATAGAGCCAATATTGGATATTCATATACAAACTAGAGTACCTCATTAATGCAATAAAGCAAAAGTTTGGAAAAATGTGAGCTGTTTCCACAGATACTTTTAAGAGTTTAAACCTGTTGTTAATTAGAAATTTAAAATTGGAAAACTGATTAGCTTATTTTATCACACAGAGAATAAGTCATCTTAGCATTCTGAGAACAGAAAGTTCATTTATTCATTAGTCATAAATCCCCATATTTTGTTCATACACCTCTATTGAACTGACTGCCTTGGGTCTGAATGAAATATAATTTGTGTTTTGGCAACACAAATATTTGAAGGCATCAACACGCAAAATTAAACATTGCAAATAGTTCCAATTCTACCACAACAGCTCTGTCAACCCGCCTAATAGAGTAATAATTATTCATTCACATATTTATAGCCCAAGCATGGCAGTTCAAAGCCTTTATGCACTATTTTCCTCATTATTTCCTGAAAATAGTAGATTTAAAGTATGTACACACATATACATACACATATGTGTATGCATGTTCATACACACTTACAAAAGGCCACCCACATTGTTTGACAATTATAGGTAGAGAAATAGGTGGGTAAAGGAGATGTGATGACCCAGCAGCATTACTGATCACTGAGGCCACCCAAAATTTTCCACTGACAGATTTCTTAATGCTTTGCAAAGTTTTGACTGTATCAATGGGAATGTTGTAAGCCACATTCCTATGTTAAAATGCCTCAGCTATTTCAGAAAATATAACTAGGGAAAAAAAGGTAGGTTAACTCATAGCAAAAAAAAAAATTAGCCAATTGCTTTCTTCATTAAGAATACCTCAACCAGCCTACTTTGCAGCTGATAACTAAAATATTCCAAGGAGCTTTCCAGAGTGTCAGGAATTTTTGTTATAATTAGCATAGGCTTGCCAAGTTGGTGGAAAGGGGAATCTCAATCCATCCCAGTCCCAGCAGTCTGATGTCAGTGCCATTAACAGAGCCTGAAGGGGATCACATGTCAGTAGGAGATCACCTGAAAACCAGCACAAAAGAATTCCAGACCCTGCAGCCAATAGTTTGGCTTTAACATGGGGCCAGCCTAAATACCTCTGTGGGGAGTAAAGAAGACCCTGTTTCACACTTTGCCATCCACACAGATGGTGGGATTCAGCATCCCTCAGCGAGACTGCTGACAGCACCAAGCTGTGCAGTGGAGTTGGCACACCTGAGGGAAGGGATGCCATCCAGAGGGACACGGACAGGCCTCAGGGCTGGGAGGTGGCCCCAAACCTCATGAAGTACAACAAGGCCAAGAGCCAGGTCCTGCATGTGGGCGAGGGCAATCCCCACATAAATACAGGCTGGGAAGAGAACGGATTGAAAAGGATCTAAAGGACTTCCAGTCCCTAAAGGGAGCTTCCAGGAGAGCTGGAGAGGAACATTGGAGAAGGGCATGTAGTGATGGACAAGGAAAAATGGCTTTAAACTGGAAAATCATAATTTTAGATCAAATACTAGGAATAAATTCTTTGCTGCGAGGGTGGTGAGGCTCAGGTTGTCCAAAGTTATGGATGCCTCATCCCTGGAATTGCTCAAGGCCAGATAGGATGGGCTTTGAGCAACCTTGTTTAGTGGAAGGTGTCCCATGGCAGGGGAGTTGAAACTAGATGATCTTTAATGTCCCTTTCAACAAAAAACATTCTGTAGTTCTATGATTTTTATAAACTTTCAAAGTTGTGCACTTCAAAAGCATTAGTTTCTAAACTAGATCTTACATAGGTTAAATCTCAGTCAAGTGTTCTTGATCCTAGAGTTTAGAGACTAAGACTTCTCCCTAACCCTTTATGGCAGGTGAAGGTTTTTTAGTGTCTGGCTTCCCAAGGGGGCACATGGAAGTGGTCTCTTACCAGGAGCAGCAGGTGATGATGCACAAAGAAGACCCAATGGACATACAGGAGACATCTAATTTGGGGATTGAACTGATGGGCAAAGCTGGAGATGAAGAGAAGCCTTGGCAGGAGTTTTTAGAAGAGTGGGCCAAAAAAAAGACAAGAAATTGGATGAGTGAAAAAAAGTGCAGGTTTTTTCCTGGTCAGAAAGTTACTGAGAGGTTTGGACGGCTCAGGCCTTTTTCAGAGAAACACCTTCTCCTAAAATGTGTAAAATTGAGCTGGCAGAGCAACATGTCTGTATTCCTATACTGTCATAAAACAGGTATTACAGGGGTCCTCACCTTCTCCCTTTTCTGCTTCATGGACATTCCCAGCCTCCTTGTATTCCCACACACTCTGTTGGCATCTGTGTCTGCACTGCAGAGCTATTGCTCCTGTCCCTGCAAAATACCCAACTGGTGGGATGCATGCTTCCATTGGGCCCTGTTTGTCAGCCAGGGAGTTATATTGAAAATATTCATTAAGATGCATTGTTGCAGTCCCTGCAGCAGTTTTACACTATTTAATGCTGTGGTCATGGATAGTTCTGGTAACTCCAGGAATAGAACCACCACCCCCTCGCAGAAAAAGGGTTGTTTGACATTTTTATTAGCTTCACCCCTTGTTCTGTGGAGATGACAGCCAGTTACCTACAGTGGCATGACTGGTAGGAAAGTAGGTAGAAGGAAAAAAAAAAAAAAACCACAGCTGACAGCATCTTGCAAGTCTGTGATGCTAAATCAGCATCAGTGCCACGTGCCTTCTCGATGAGGATGGGATGTAGAGGTAGAGTCGTGACAGTATGTTCCAAGGTGTCCCTGTGGTTCTCCCAGCTTGCTCTGTCAATGTTTCATCTCAGGTTATTAGTATTTATAAAAGCATGCCCTTAAAATAGCTTCATGGTGTTAATAGAAGCAAAAATAGCAGTTCCTGCGCTTAAGTTGTTCGTAGCGGGGTAAAATAGGGCTAAATTGGGCAAGCAGAGAAATCATCATAGCACAACCCAATTTAAGGGTGACTTTCAAATCCCCTTCATGTCTTAAAAATCACTGACTTTAAGCTAAAATTTAGACGAGGATACATTCCTTCCTGCTTTACAGAAAACCCTTCTCCCTTTAAGAGGTGTAAGATTTGGGGTGACTTTGCTTAAATCTACTAAGTCGTCCACTCAGAAGTGGAGCAACCACAAGCTTCTGAAAACTCATTTCAGAAAAATCTTTCAGATTTGCATTTGAAATGTGTAAAATAGACATGTGGATTGTAAAACAGATCCTGTTGTGGGTTGACCCGAGGTGCCCACCAAAGCTGCCATGTCACTTCCCTTCTCAATTGGACAGGGAGGGGAGAGAAAATATTATGAAGGACTCTTGTGCTGAGAGATCACACACCAATAGCCATCAGGAGCCAAAGAGACCCCTCTTGGGGAAATCAGTTTATCACCAATAAAATCAAAGTAGAATAATAAGAAAATAAAATCTAAGTCTTAAAACACCTTCCCACCACCCCTCCCTCCTTCAGTCTGATCTATCTCCTCCCCTCAAGTGTCACAGGGGGACAGGAATGGGGGCTGTGCTGAGTTCATCACTTATTGTCTCTGCCACTCCCTTCTCCTGAGTGGGAGGACTCTTCACACTCCCTTCTGCAGTGTGGAGTCCCTTCCCTGGGGGACAGAGAGGGCACAATTCTGTCACCATGGCCAGCACCTGGGCTGCCTGTGCTCCAGCTCCTGGGGCACCTCCTGCCCCTCCTTCTGCTCTGACCTTGGCATCTGTGGAATGGCTTCTCTCACAGATTCTCTCTTCAGCTGCAGTTTCAGAGAGAACTGAAAAACAATTTATTCACCATCTATAGAATATGGAGAGGGGGGCATAAGAGGCATTGCATTTATTTTCCTTATCAAATTATTTCTTAAATAGGCACAGCAGTCTGTATGTGTCTATTCCAGGCACAGCAGATCAATGACCTTCTGGCACCAAAACTGATGAACCCTTAGCTGTTCTCTAGAGAGTGTTGATCATGCTTCGCTGAGAAATCCGTGTCTTTTTTTTTTTCTTAATTCTCTGTATGTCTGCAAGTAGACTCTGTGATTATTGCCAGATGAGCCACAGACAATATTTGAAGTAACTACTGCATGTTCTAAGACAAGACAAGGAAACACAGGCTATTACCACAGTGTGTCCAGATTCCAACCTCACTTGACACTGGAGTCTGTCTCAATCACATCAGTGAAGTATGAGTGAAGCTCTGGAGAAAGAAGAGAAAAATTAGTTACTTTATCATGCCTTGGTATAATTAAAAGTAGTTATAAAAATTGATAATCTGAAAAAATCTATCATCAGTTTGTTTGAGACTGATATTTTTCCTGTAGTAAACGACTAATTGTCTGGAGTGACTATACAATTTTTTTTTTTTAATAGGCTGGTTTCTTATTTGCAATACTTAAATGTTTCTTACAACTGTTGTTTCAGAAAGGAAACAACACAGTAACAGAACTGGGAGCTTTTCCCATTGTGTTTCCTTTAAAATTTGCAGTTGATTTAGACAAAAATGTTTGTCTGTTTTGCTGATTTCTTATTTGCCAGTGCTAAAAGAATATCCCATGTAAACTGCAGAGGTTGCCAAATTAATTTTTGTGGTTTAATATGAGGCAAACAAATCTTTCCATTACTAATTATTTTTTGACCTTGCATATGAGAATAGGATTAGACTGACTACAACTGACACTGATTATGTGAGACAGGATGTTATTAAATCCCTTTGGGGAGCTTTTGAAAGATCCACCACATTTAGAGAAGAGAGCTTTTCTCTGTCTTAGCTCATTTATGGAGCAATTACATGTGACTTACTACAAAAACGATGTCAAAAAAAAACACTGAGCAAACAGCCAAAGTGGAATTTACACCACTCCCATCTCTGTCAAAACATCTCACAACCTCACAGCCTTAAAAAAAAATTTTGTCAAGGTTACCTATAGCAAAACCATTTGCTATATATCAGCAAAAGATATGACATATATTGGATTAAGACTACATGGAGGAGAATTTGTAATGGATATGAAGGCAGCAGAGATTTCTCATTGCTCAAATGGCTTCTTTGCACCAGGAGCCCAAATTTAATTAATTTTGCAGGCTTGAAAAGCCTAATGTTTTCATTTAAGCTATCTCAGGATTTGCAAGTTTTGTTTTTCATTAGAACATTCCTATAGAGGGTTTCTTAGTGAAGTGCAGAGAAATGTGCAAAATGTACTGACTTGAAAAACCTCTGCTCATTCTGGAAAAACCTGTGGCTAAATTTTCTGCTTTGTTTGATTGGGTTTTTTTGTTTGTTATTTTTTTCCTCAGTATGTACAAGAAGATTTATGGCTCTTATTAACAGAACCTGTTTTCCAAAAAGATTTCTGCTGCTCTATCAATCACTGCCATATCAGATTAAAAAAAAAAATAAAATACTTTTTTCCACCTGCACAGATTCATCTCTGTGCTGTTAAAAATGTATAATCCAAAGTAATACTGACACTTCACTGCAGAACCAACAGTACCGAGGTGTTATATTGCAAAGATTTATTCTCACCCCCGGTTTGATTTCAAAGTTGATATTGCTGTAAATTATTGTGATGACAACACTTAATACTTGGGCCCTCACATTTTGTTTGTTTTCCTTGTGTGTCTTCCCATACTAAATCCAAGACAAGTATGGAAGAAGTTAAAAGATACTTAAATGTTTTTTCCTTAGGTACGACTCAGTGGCGTGACTAAAGTAACATGCTGGCACTCACACTTTTCCTCAGGGTGTCTCAAAGACCACCAGCTTGCTGCCAGTGGTCCTTGACATGAAGCCAAACCTAGGGCAGACTTAGAGCAGTGGCAAGAGCCTCAGCAGGATTACCCTGTCCCACAAACACTAAGATTCTCTGCTGCTCTCTGTAGCACTCCTGAAATATGTCTTGCATGTAAAGGTGTGTTCATCTTTACATGTGTTGCCCAGAAGGTCCCTACTTTACAGTAACCACTGGTAATTGATGGTGAGTACTGGAGGGTAGGATTTTTTGCACATGTAGTGATCACTGACCACAGGGAAAGTTTAGGTAAAGATTCTGGTCCATAAATATAGATATGCTTGCGTCAGGAAAAACTGATTTTTACTGAGTTTGTTCTTCAGGGAATGTTATGTTGTATTTCTGATATTGCAAATGAATAAAGCAGTACTGCATGAGGTGTTCTGCATGGCCAAATATTGTAGTCCTTACTCAGAATTTACTCAGGAAAAACCACCTTTGACTTCAGTGAGGATTTGCTTGACTAAGGACTGCACAGACTGTTGTGAATCTTACCAGCATTGCTTGATGCTAATGTTGGGCAACAGTTCTCATTGCTAATTTGCCTGCCTCGTCCTTCTCCTGGGCTCAGGATCTGCTTTTGCTCTGTGGTATTCATAGCTTCTATTGCTAGTTCAGATTCTTTGTGCTTTTCTTTCCCAGCAAACATTTTGCAGCTATTGTTCTGCTGCTGGTAGATGAGCACAGAACCTGGTATACAGGACTTGAACCTCAGCCCAGATTCAATTAACACTGTTAAACATGTTCTCACTATGGTGCTCAGAAGAAATTTTGATGACCCTCTTTCAATGAAGCATAAATTTGTTTAAGCTGATGCTTTTAGAATGCAAAAATATAAGGGCTTGATTCACAAATCTTAAGACCAAATGCTTCTGCAGTAAAATAGATGGAGTAGCACCCATTTAGAGCCACCAAAAGATCAATTGTAAATGCTTATTGTGCCCTACAAAATTCAGCCAAGAAAGTTACTAAATGTGTGTGCTGTAGCATCACTCTGTTTTGTAATTTTAATGCTGCTTTAAAGTAAGATATTCTGAACAATAATTACAATAATAATTAGTACCAAATTATGCCATAGCCTTCTGATACGAAGAAAACTAGCTAGGTTATCACTCGTATGTCTTATGAGCCATACCTAGCCATGGTTTATCCTCTATTCATGCTACAGGGTACGAAATTCCTGGGTGCCAACCTGCCTATGGCAACCTAGAATTCTCCAGGGCAGGCTCGCAAAATCTTCACCTACTCTCTGGGACAGGTAACTAATAAGTGATGTTTTGTGAAGTTATGCTTTCTTTCTAACTTTCTGATGTCCGTAAAAATGTTTCATTTCTTCATGTCAGTCCGTGGTCTCTCATTGTTCAGTTCCACTGTGTTTTCTGGACTAGGGGAGTAGCAGCAGATCTGTTTGTTCGAGTGCTCTAGATGCTTACCTCAGCCAAGCCTGTAATAATTGTTACTAACATGCCTAAAACCTGAAAGTTGTTTAAGAGGCTGCAAAATCTACAGCTGCCTACTACCAGTTAATCTTTTTTTCTGATGGAGTAGTTTGACAATGCAGGTGCATTACTTTTCACTGTTGGTGCCACAGTTATCTGGGCAGTTCACCCACCTTTCTTAATAGCTGGTATGTATATATATATTTTCTTTCCTTTATCAGGTTTACATTAATCTTGAGTCTCCTGAGCTAAGGATATTTCAATGCTATAGGTACAGAACACTGAAAGGCTGGGGGACTTATGACTGATTCTGGTTTACATTTCTATGCAGCATGTAGTGTAAGTTTAAGAAACGACTCAGTTTTCCATATTTTGCTTAAATTCTCTTCTACTTTTCTCCTGAATTCACTGTCTATTCTTTTTTCTTGACTTTATTTCAAGTGGCAGATATGTAGAAGAAATGTCATTCACTAATCCTATACCTTTCAATGACATACGAAATATTGTAATATATTTCAAAGTTAAAAAGTTATTAGGTTAAAAAAATAAATACAAACTAAGCTTCAGATTGGTTCCTGCAGTCTATTGATTTTCTCTGAATACAAGATAAAAATGTGTGAGGAAATTTCATCTTAAGAGAGCTGATAGTGTAAGAAAGACATAAGTGAGATTCTTTTTGATTTTTTTTCACATGGTCTACACTCTGTGGAGCGAAAAAAAACCCAGCAATCTTGGAAAACTTGTTTGAATTCTTGCTTTTCATTCCCCTGGGATTCTGCAGGTACACTCTACTCTTACCTGGGTTTGGAAGACCTTGATGCAAAAATAGCTTTGCTCTGCTGCTTATTCTTGCTAAAATCAAGAGATGACCATGAAGTGAAACATAATCCAGGCATATAAAACTCTTTTATAAAATGTTCAACCCTAATTCCAACTTGGTTGAATATTTGGAATTCCTTTAAAATCAGAAGAAATTCACAGATCCACTGTGTAATCACTAAGTTTGATCTTACGTTCTGTTTTAAAATGGATGTCCACATGGAATTTCTGAGTCTTGGGATGATACTTAGTCATCTTTCTGTAAGGTTCACTAAAAATACTTTTTTTTTCCTACCACCATTGTCTACTTTTAGTTGTTACCTATGAAACAAAAAAGCTTACTCTTGTAAAGGACAATATCATAATTTATCTCCAACTGTACTACAACTTAAAATGCACAAATCCAATATTTTAGCTCAACCTATTTACCCATTTCATGAAAATATTAAAAGTAAATAGTCATTGAAAGACAATTTTCATTTTCCTATGTGCTTTTTGAAAAGCTCACAAGGACCTACATTTTTAGAGAAATTTTTGTATTTCCTGAAAGCTGGCTTGTTTCTTTCCTGTGAGTAACTCAGGTTTAATCTCACTGTTTCAACATATCTAGACTGTAAAACAACATCTGGAAACTTGCTTTCTAGTTATATTGAAAAATACCACCTTGCTGAAGGAATTAATAAAAGACCCAAATGTTTGTTTGGTAAAATGAAAAATAGTGAGTATGACAAGTGTCAGCATTTACAAAATGAGAATAGGTTCTACTTTATCCAGCCTGATGCACCTTAACCTTTAAAAACTAATGAGAAAGCAGTAACAGTATCAACAAGAGATTTCTAGTAAAAACCTAAGTTTTGATTAACCCAGAATGCTGAAGTTGTTCAGTTATAATGTGTCAGAAGGAAAAAAAAACAAAAAAAACAGAGATGGCCTATGTTTATGTAATCCACATCTCAAGGCACAAGAGGAATTTTTGGGAAAGTCTAGAGTAGTGAATCTGCTTCCTCACCCAGTACAGGTCCTTGGGGTGCTACATCTGCAGGGGAGGTGGAATCAAAGGGCTCCTGGGTCCCCTCTGAAGGAGCACATTGTGCATTGCTTTTCACATGAATAATGTGAGCAGCTTTTCCATGAACACCTGCTGCCTGACTTGGTCCCTCCAAATCTGCAGAGAGATCTTTCATTTGCTGGCTCACTCCGAAAACTGCCCAAGAGCCAGTGTCAAGGTGCAGGGCTGGTAACAAGAGTTTAGAGGAATGCAGTCCTGTTCCCTCTCCTTTCCCATACAGCCACAAAAAAAAAAAAAAAAAAAAAAAAAGTGACAAACAAGAGTTTTACACTGAAAAGCCAGTGCAGCCAGGGGAGCAGGATAAAATACTGAGCTAACAAATTATGACATTCAGCTGGGAGGAAAGTTGTGTGAAATGATGGCACAACATGCTGAGCCATGGGGAACTTGCTAGAGGTGAACTCATTTATGCTCTTGCAGAGTAGAAGACTTCTCAGTTAACAAGTCCCAAAATAGTGTGCTGCAGTGTATAAAACAAGGTAGGGCTTGAAATAATTAGCCACAGATGACAGATGGCAACTCCTTTCTCTTTTTTTCCTTCTTTTCTTTTGCTGTAATATCAAGTTGATCAAAGAGCTGAGGATCATTTGTTATGGTAGGAAAACTAAAAATATCTTGAAATATTCAGGCAAAACAAGTTCATTCAGGTACAAGCCAGTAGCTCTCGTTGTTCCTGTTCAACACCTTGTACATGAGTCTATGTGTAGTAATAGTTTCCCTCTGGATCTGAATTACATGTGCACAGCAGAGAATTTGGATGTGTCCTGGCTTAGAAGCATTATTTTAAAAATTTATTAAATCAAATAGTTAATTTATATAATGTAATTGTTTGCTTGTGTTAACAAACCAATGATCTTTTGTACTGCCAGAAAACCCTCCAGAAAAGTACCCAGAGCTCACCTCTCTGGCAGGTCACTTGAGCAATGCCATACAGGGGCTCTGCGAGGGGAACCAGATGCCAGGGAGCAGAGGCTGCAGTAGAACTGACTGCACCCACGGCCTCTGGAGGTGTCTGAAGGGGCAGTGCTGCATCTCACTCCAGGCAGGAGCAGCATTTCCTCCTGGGCTCTTAGGAGTAACATCTGGCAAGCACGGGCGCTGTTTTAAAGGCAAGCACCTATGGATTCAAGTTAGAGACACAACAGGAGCTTCTGTCTTGCATGACTTCTGTCACAAAAGAGGATCAGAACACAACTCTAACAGATGTAGTTAAAAGGAGAATTCAGTAATTTGCTCAAATAATGTAATATACACTGCTCATAAAGGAAAAAAGCCATAGAATCTCCAGTCCCAGTAGTAATTCTGTCTGACTGGTTCACGAGCGAGAAGAGCGTATTTGATTTTTTCAGCTGCTTAGCATAACCTTTCTGATGGAAGTGTTAAGCCAACACACCTAAATTAGTCCCTTGAGCAAGACAAAGATGAATTTCAAATCAGAGGAAAGAGAGAAAAGGATTGGGAAAGGAAGGAAATAAGATGAATTTCAAATCAGAGGAAAGAGAGAAAAGGATTGGGAAAGGAAGGAAATAAGATGAGAACGGAGATTATAAGTCTGTTAACCTATGTCTGGATGTTTTATACCAAATAAAATAGGTACAAAATTCTATCCCTGCTTCTAAAGCACATTTCTCCAGTATTCCCCTACCACACTTCCAACCTCAGTCCTTTAATAGAAAGAATAAGATCAATTTCAGATTGCTTCTGGCCAGTGGGCTTCACCCATTCTCATTACATTCCTATTACACATAAACTGCACAATTCAGGAGGAGCCACACTTCTGTTCCAGCACAGCTTGATCCAGATGAATTGGGGAAATAAACAGACAAAAACAAAAGTGAGAAAGGTTTAATAACACAATTAAAATATAACTTTATAAGCTTGTGAGCTGATGTGGCAGGCTGCTCTCAGTAATTTCCAGAGGGAGTGCTTATCCGTGACTACAAACCAAAGCAATCTAGAAGCTGGCCACTCAGAGCTGTAAGGAGAGCTACTGCAACTGAAGGCAGCCTGCTTAATCACCTGGAGAGCTCTCTTTAGCTTTCTAATCACAAATTGAAGTCTACCTCTAATTTTGCTTCCTCAATTTTTCAATACCTTACTATTTTTTCCCCTTTCTTATCACCTCTCGGTAGTCTGGATTCCCTAGTGAGATGCAATGCAGACGGGTAGGATTCTGACAGACATTAAAAAGCAGAAAACAACTGTTCAACAACTTCAAATAACTTTCTGTTTGAGGCAAACCCCCCCACCACTCAGTGGCCTGTGTTACATCACATTTGTTGCAGTCAGCCTTTGCTGCTGGTTTTCTTACCCTTTTGAACCCTGCAACTTTAGACTGCAACTCACGAGTTCTGCTACCCAAACACTTTATGCAAAGTTATCAGCCTCTGGGAAGCCAGGAAATAGCAGCTCTTACAGGGGTGAACCTTCTTCCAGACTCATGGGAACAGCAGAGTTTGGACAGAAAGCAGTGAAGATCCCTTAATCCCTAGGAAGGGTCAGGGTCATTCTGATTCTGCTCTCTTGCACAAATGCTGTCTGAAGTTTGCCACACCAGAAGTTTCCTTCCTTCTCTCCCAGTTTAACCATCTGATTCATTTCAGATGTGCTCCAAGCACTAGGCAACATTTGAACAATGCAGAAAATATGAAGCAGGGCATGAACATGAACGGAGTCCTTCATTATGGTAGGAAAATAAACATGTCCTTCCTACCTCTAGAAAATGAGCCAGAAAGCATGTACTCCTTCTAGAATCCCATGCTGGTTTTCTTCTCTTGGATCCATATTTTCCAGCTCTCCAAGCTTTCATTTTCTAGCAATACAGAAAAACAAATTGAACAGACACAGTCCTTATTCAAACTTTTGTAGGATCACTTACTGAGCCTAAAGGTTTGCATTTAAGCCACTGCTACTAAGAGTTTACCTGCCAGA